ATTAAATTAAAAAATATTATTTCGTGTAATTAAAGTAAAAAATTATTGTCTTTATTTAAAAAATCTTTTATTTTATTATTTTAAATCATATTTAAGCTTAAATTATAATAAATAATATTTTATTAAAATTTTACTAATTTTATTTAAGTTTAAATTAAAAGTAAATAATATTTTATCAAATTTTAATTTAAAAATTTTAAAGTAAAAGATTGTTTAATAAGTACATAAATACATATATGTAACTTATCTCATACATATTAAATTAAGTTTTAAATATAGATCTTTAAATATCTAAGTAAATATATTTTTTTATTAGAATATCTGAGTAAATGTTAAATCTAAAAAAATTATATCTAAAAATTTTTAAATTAAATATCAAGTATACGGTATCCCGCATGAAAATACTCACCCCTAATTTCCTTAAATTAAGCTGGGCGGGTGTGGGTCGGCAGTCAACATTGGAGACAATGATACCAATCAGCAGGAGGGCCCACAACTCGCCATCAAATGTAGAACTTTGGTCCCCAATCCCAGAAAAAAAAAAAATTGTAGATAAAGCTCCAGAATTTATTTTTTTAATTTAAAAATATAAATTTTATTAATTTTTAAATAATATAATTAATTTTTAATTTTATTTATTTAAAAATATCAATTTTAAATTATATTATATTTAAGCATTAATTGAATAGTAATATTAACATGGCCAACAACTTTTTAAGCCAATCAACTTTAACAATCTTTTAACCATCTAAATTGTGGGTAATATGTGAAAATGTATAAATAAAAATATAAAATTTGTTATTATTTATTTAAAGATGTAAACTAATTACTTTGATAATAAAAAAAAAATGTAAAGTTAACATCTATACGAGGGTAATGTTATTATCATGTCTGAAATTGTTAAGTCATATACATTTATTTTTTGATTTTTCTTTAATAGGTGGTTATAGTGTTTAAAAATAGAGTTTTTCTAACATGTCTAGTTAAAAAAATAATTAATAATTTTTTTTACTATTAAATTACTTTTAAAAAATAAAATTTGATTTTAATTTTAGTAACTAACTAATAAAATTAAAATGCATGACATTGATACTAAAATTAATATCAAAATTTTTTATTTTTTTTAATATAAATTAATCACTAAAAGGTATGTTAATCACACCTTTAACACGTGCCTTTAAAATACATGTTAAAAAATTTTTAAAAATAATTATCCTTTAAATTTAATTTCTTTTTGTTAACTAATATAGTAAGGGTTCTTTTAAACTTAGTGAAGTATTTATTACACTTCTCTATCAATGTACACAATCCTTCCACAGTTAAAATGCATTCCAATAGAGTTATATATTGAGATTGAGAGGGAAAAAAATCCAAAGTTGTGATAAGCAGAGTGTCTTCATAATCATCTCCTAATAATTAAATCAATTTAAGCCCCATGTAAGTACTCTCTGTTAATTGACGACTTGTACAAAGAATTAAGTATCAATTCTCCCAATCAAAGCAACAACATAGTACAGTAAAGAGCATTTCCCAAAAAATTAAAAAAGAGAGGCTGAACTAAAGATCACATCTTTAAAATTAACGAAGAGAGGCTCAACTCAAGGTTTCATTTAGCATGATTGTAGTTTTGAGTTTTTGGATTTGGTTTTTATAAATTTTGCAACTACTAAAAACCAAAATTAAAAATTAAACTGCCAACTAATAATCATAATAATATCTTGCAAATACACTTTAAAATAAACAAGTTTTTTTATTTAGCGCTACAAAATCCATAAAAACTAGAACCAAGAACCATAACCATATAACTAAACTAAATTCATTCTTATTTACTACTCTACAATTAATTAATATAATACATATGAAAACAACAGTAAATTTGTTTACCTTCACTTTTTTCCCATTTTTTTATCCTTTGGGTTTCCGTCGATATTCTCTTCCGTCTTTTCTTCTTCCAACGGTTACTCCAGTCCTGATCCTAGTCTGTTTTCTGCTTCATCGGCACCAGTCCTCTTCTTCTTTCCTCTCCCTGCCATTCTTCCTAGTGACAGAGACAATGTAAGGAAATTACTAATTTGAGGTAATACTTAAGCGGACCCAAGCATTTGCTGATAATACATAGAAATTAAGAAAGATTCAATCAACCAAATCAAGCATTTGCTGATAAATGATCAAGACAACAAATCAAGCATGTATCTATTCAAATCATGATGATTAAAAGATTGATAGCGCACACACCTGAATCAAAGATGGACAGATTCACCCTGGAGCACGAGTCGAACACAAAATAGAATCTCCTGTTGTACGGGCTTCGTCTATCCATTATATATATACAAGATCAAACTCGCTCGAAGCATTCACCTTCATTAAAAAAAACTTGAGCTAAGTTGTCCTTTTTCTAATATATATAATCGCCTTCCTTGTGAAAAAATTAAGAAAAAAATAATTATGTTGTTTTAATAAATTATTATAAAAAAATAAAAAATACTTTAATTTATATTTTAAAAATAAAATATTTTAATTTTTTTAAATAAATATTTATTAAAATAACGTAATTTTAAAATAATATTTCTCTTAATTCTTAAGAGATAAAACATATAAGTATTATTCTATCATTAGATTTAATACACTAAATTTTATAACCGGTCATGAAATATGGGGTATGTACCAGTTTAGTCCATATTTTCATTATTTTCCTAGTTCAGTCATGAAACTGATTAAAGAAATTGTAACAAATCAATAGGTTACCTTGTCTACCAACTATTACTTTACTCTAATGGATGGAATTCTATGTAAAATCTTGCATGTCACCACATAGAGTATCATGTAGGTTGTCTTAAGTGGAACTTTTTGGAGGTGGGTGTGACATAATTAGGTAAAGTTATGACCACCACTCAAAGTGTTAAGATAATAAAAAGTTTTAAAATATTATCATTAAAAATATTAATTTTATTCAATTTTTTAATAAAATAACTAATCATTGTAATTATTAATTAATAATTACTAAAATAGTTAATATTTATTAGTTAATAAATTAAATTCAATCAATAAAATATTTTTAGACACTATTTAAAAAAATTAAAAAAATTGATAACCTTAGCTCTTTTTATGATGACAATAACTACACCCAATATACTTACACAAATTTTATTCATCATACTAATAATCATTGATTAAATTAACGAATCTCATATTTTGTAGTTGGAATTATAAAATAAAAACCACTAAATAGGAAGCAACCTCTAATATCAAGAGATTTGTTATCCATCCAATAATTTAAGAAGAGCATGCACTGAATTTCATGACACTTTTTTGTAGTTTAAAATGATCAATTTGATTAAGATTTGTTTTTCTTGACTGTAAAGAGGAAAAAAAAAAGATTGTAGACTGAACTGGTACAAACGTAACAAACTCCATAGCTAAATTGAACCCATAGTGTTGATTTATTAAAGTTGGGTGACCACTCTTTAGATTCACCCTTGTTATTTTGTTTGGACGGTTTCTCGCGCTGCGTACGCTGGGCTTTGAAGTTTTTTTTTATGCCACCTCACCCTATTTTTTTATTGGCAGAAGGATAGAGGCTCGCTACGCGCTTAATTGATATTGTTAGTTAAGATATTATCTGCTTTTGAAAAATGATATAATTACATTATTACACACTATTGTACATTTATATTATGAAAAAAATATATATTAGTTTTGATTTTTTTAATAAATTAGAGTTTCAATCTTAAATTATATTATTTTATTTAATTTTAATGCAATTCAAAATTTGAAAAATTATCTTATTATATTGAAGGTTTAAGTACCATTTTGGTCCCTCAACTATTCATTTTGGTATCAAAATTGTCCCTCAACTTTAAAAAGTACCAAAATTATTCTTAAACTTTCATTTTTGTACCAAAATGGTCCTTCCGTCAGTTAAATTAACAGCTGGCACGTTAAAGGGACACATGGCACATTAAATGGACAGATGATAGGTTAAATGGGTAGCTGGCACGTTAAATGCCACAGCATCATTGGACAACTTAATTTGAATGACGTGTAAATTTCAGGTAAAAAAATTTGATATTTTTTATTATTGTTTCACCATTTTTCAAATTAAAAAATTTTTTTTTTGTCTTTTTCCTTTTTGTTCTTGTTCTCTCTCTTCTCCCTTCTTCCTTTCCAAATCAAAACCCAGATCTAGGTTTTTCTCCTCCTCTCTCATCCTGCACATCGCTGGAACCCAGATCTAAAACCCAGATCTCCATTGTGTTAACCCTGCAGCATCCTGTTTAATAGATGTAAACCAGAGAACCATGCATTAACAACTCAGATTTCGTTGAGGAGCCTTTCGCCTTCAATTTCAAAATTCAGCTGCATTAAGCACATTTCCAATAATTAAAAGGTTTTGAAACCAAATGTCCATTATTCGGTTTCCAATTTAAACACTACTAAGTTAAACGAATTTCAACTCCCCTGCACTTTCTCAAGATCCAAGCAACACGAAATTGACATAAGATCTTTAACAGAAGGAAAGATAATAAGAACAACAGACCTTCTTGAGCTTGTCGAGGATTCCAGCAACGGAATTGCTGGTGGCACGAGGTGGAGGACGTCACGGGTGGCACGAGGGACGCAGAGAAGGGCGGAAGCGCTCTGCTCCTCGAGAGAGGCGGCAATCTCTTTGGAGACCATCTGAAGATTCATTTCGAGATCCACCATGTGCTTGTGCAGCGAGTCGTGCAGGTGGCGGCTTTTACACATCGAGTTTATCCATTTCTTAGGACAGCTGGATTTGAGAAAAAACCCAGATTTGGGTTTGAGAAAAACCCAGATCTGGGTTTGATTGGGAGAGGAAGAAGAAGGAAAAAGAGAAAGAAGAAAGAAAAAGGATGAGTGGCGAAAGGAAGGAAGAAGTTTGATTTTCGAAGGATTGAGAGAGAGAGGAGAGGAGGAAGAAAAAAATCCAGCACTGGTGATGGTGAACCCAGATTCACTGTAAAGAAAAAAACCTAAAATGGTGAAAT